AATCTTTTAGTGTATCGTGAAATCACACTCAAGAAGACAACCAGAGAGTAAGTTTTTCAACTGAAATAATTTAATCATGGGTAAAAGAGGCAAGGGTACTTTTCATTAATTCAAATTAAGTACAAAGATAAAAGGAATATGTAAATCTCCACCTGTCTTCCAATATCTGTTTTAGTAATTTAGGAAATTATTTATTATATTTAAAGTGTGTATCAATATTGTTTCAAGTGGAATATTAGTCTTAGCTGTACCAATGACAGTAAAACCTAGGTAATTCAACTTCCTCTTTGTGCTTCACTTATTTTATTAATAGTTAAATGAATGCAACAAAACCAATCCATCTCTAAAATCTCTTTCATCTGTGTAAATATAGAATTTACATAAGTTATGGTCCAATCTAGGAGGCCTTGGGGGTCACTTAAAGGTATTATTATAAAATGAATGACTTTATCTCAGGAATTGGATTTTATTTATCTTTTTTATGTTCATGTCATAATACCAGACACAGACAATGCACTCAACAAATTTATGTAAAAGGATAAATTAATATTAGTGTTATATAAAATATAGATGACCAAAGAGATGAAACTAAACAGTTCTTAGCATATGTGCTGCTGAAGAGAGCACAAAGCCTTACACAGTATTTACATTATGTTACATTAAGTCATTTACAGATTTGTCTCCAGCCTTTAGGTGGTCAGGTTATTATATTTCTTACCATTCAGTTTAGCAAACAATAAGTTTTTTCTTAGTTGTGACTAATTAGAGGAACAGTTTAGGATTGATAGACAATCAAATGACATCACGTGACCAGAGATAGTAAAACGTTCATATGTGTCATATTTGAGAAGGATATTGAATCAAGGACTTTACATATTGCTCAAAGAGCTTTCTGTGGTTTGAGCTTAGTGTTAGGAAAAAGACCCAGAAGTTTGATCTTTGCCCTTTGTAAATAGTTCATAGGAGGAATTATGACTTTATTTCCCAGAGAATTTTAGAAGCTGCATTCTTTGTTAATTATTCTATTTGAAATAATTTAGGTGGGCTTATGGAGTTAAATAAAGGAGCAGCCTTATTCCTTTAATAGCAAGATCATATTATAGCTAATATGCATTTCTTTTTCCAAGAGAAACCAAATTTGGCCTAAGCACCTGGGCAGATCAATGGAAATAATCAGTCTGATCAAAGCTCTGGCCATATAGTTCAGATGTATGATACTGATGCTCCTAAAATGCCATCACTAAAATGATCACAACTGAATTGGTATATCACTTCTTGATTTTATGTCGATTATGTAATTCAATGCTTTCCATGAGTGGCATTTTCTCACAAGATAGAAATCTGATGTCAATAGAAATTAGAAAAATGTGTGAGAATTACATATGCTGAAAGACAGTGCTGTGAGTCTAGCCTAGTTTTCTACCTTTAAATCCTGTCCTCTCTCTGCAATGCAATAGTAGACATCTTGAGTTCCAGACTTTAATTAACAGGCTCCTGAAGGGGATCCTTGATAAAGACGAGTTGTTAACACTGAGAATAGAGCAGCAGCCCAATCATTATTGCATAACTTTGCTTTAACTCGCAAAGAAAGCTAAGAAAGGATATAGATTATACTTTCTCATTGTTCTAGTCAAAGAAATATATTTGAAGGAGGGGGTATCAGAAGTAGATATAACTTCTAAGATTTTTCACAAGAATGGAAAAATGGGAATTAGGAGATGAGGATGGCAAGGAAGTTAGTGTCCTACGATGACCCCATCCATGCTGCTCTTTTTCTTTTGGTCAGCATGCTCTCTGGTAGCTAAGATGTTTAAAGAGGATGATACAGTCACCTAAAGTATATCATGCACATAAGTACTTTACATTTTATATATATATATGTGTGTGTGTGTGTGTGTGTGTGTGTGTGTGTATGGATGTACACACATATATATTTCTTATAACATTATTTAGGGTATATATTATTCTTAACCAGATTTCACCCTGAGAAGCACTGAGGCAGAGGGAAATTAAGCAACTTTAATGTTGTCCTGTAGCAAGAGATAGAGTTGAAATTTGAAACTAGGCAAGCTGGGTTCCATGCAGCCTCTTTTTAACAACTTTTCTTCATCACCTCCCATTCCAGCTCCTTTCCTGATTTGGGACCAAGCTTTCTTTATGGTACACTGAGTCATTCAGTGCAAATTCCTAACTCCTCAGTTTGACTCACAAGTCTTCGTCATCTGGGTTGGTCTGGGTTTCAGCCTCATCTCCTAACACTTCCTCATCTTTGTCATGTCAAACTTGTTGGCATTCCTCATAGAAACTTTCCTGATTATTTATACTCCTTTATCTTCACGTACACTATTCATTAGGTCTAGAATGTCTTTCTTGCTCTTTCCAATCTTCTGTGCCCCACCTTGCACATCAGCCTGCACCCTCTTTATTATTAAGTTAACTCTAACTCAGTTTTCATTCTAGTCAGTGATGACATCCTCTGCAAAGGTGACCCAAATTCTCCTTGGATTCCAAGTCCTTTATCATGGTGAAGTGTTAGTTTACACATAGACTCCTTTCATTGTCATTCCAGGTCAAATGAAACAATGTCGAGATAAACAGTGTCCCTTCCCTTGTGTTTGCACACCTACTGTAAGTTTATCTTGAGAAAAAAATGAGTACAAAGTGAATGTTGTTATGATCTTGCCAGTTGGCAACATAGTCTGTCTCCAATAGCATATCTATAGTTATATCTATATCTATATCATCTATATATCACATCACAGCAATACATTTTTATGAATATAAAAACACCAAACTCTTCATAATAAAAAGAAAAAGATTCTTTTGATTATTGTGGAAGACTCTCAAATGACAAAGAAGGATATTTGGTGGCTTTGATACCATCAGACTTAGTATATCAGTAGTTGTTAAGAAATACATCTTAGGGTTAGGTTTAAATTTAAATACCCACACTGCCAATCACTGTATGACTTGGGTGAGTTACTTGCCCTTTCTGTGCTTCAGTTTACTCATCCTGCATTGAAGCTAATAGAGAAAGCCTATCTCATAACATTGCTACTGTGATGTAAAGTACTTAGAACAATCTTTTTTTCTTAATCCTTAAAATTTTGCCAATTGATGATGTCGTAGCACTGTTTGGCTTTGAGAGTATAATGCAAAGAATTTAGAGATAAGTATCATATTCTTTAGCTGAAGGACTTTAGAGCATAAGTGAGCAAATTATTTTTCAAATTGTTATTTTTTGAGAAGCTTATTTATCTATTCAGCTATCATCTGCCTAATTTATTAAATGGATATGTATTATGTGTATGTTGGAATCAGAATACCACAATTGAAATATTAGCCTTTCCTTGACTTGTATATAAAGCAATTTAACAAATATTTTCAGCTTTTGGTATTCTGCTTTGAAACATAAATATAATAAAAATTATGAAATTGTTATAGGACTAACAGTTAACATATATAGAGTTTAGCATAAAATTCTGCATACAGTAAAGTGCTCAGTAAATGTTATTCTCTACTAGTATCTCAGCACTAGAGATAGAATGGTACTATATTTTATCTCAGGAATAAAATTATAGAGGAATTATAATACTTTCTGTTAGTTTTGCTATATAACTTTTATGTAATATTTGCATAGAGCAAATTACAAATTGAATTTAGATTCCATTTTATAGATTCAAATTACAAAGCAAAGCACTTCATAAATACAGTGAAAAGTTAGATTGATTGCTTCATTTTAATTATGAGACAATAATTTTATCATTCATGTTTTATAATGTGAAAAGATTCAGAAAAGAGAAACTGATTTATACAAAACTATACAGTTAATCAAAATCCTCAAACTTATACCACTCAGCTCCAGAGCATCACTCTTTCATTCCATTTTTAAGGAAGAAAGAGATATTTTTAGTAAAGATTGAGAATAGTTAGTAATTTTCAACATTTTATAAGTAGCCATTTTAATTTTGAAGAACAAGTTTAGATCTTGTCTCATTACTCATTTCTTTCCCTAATTCTTTTCTGATTATTCTTATCCAATACTTTTTCTTTGTGTGCCTTAAGCATACCCATATTCACTTTATAAAATAGTATTAAACATGTATATGTGTATATATATATATATATGTATTTAAACTATCATTTATAGCATAATATGTATGGGAAATTTTTCTACTAATTCTTACCTGTGATTACAAGAACAAAAAGTTATCTGACTCCTTTTTAAGGCAAGTCAATAGGAATGTCAATAATTTAAAAACTCTTCCCTTCTTAGAACAATATAGAAAAAGGTATTTCTTTGCATGGGTCAACCTGTCCCCATGTGTCCCTTACTGGCTAGGGAAGGGACTTTCACATATAGTGCTTACAATTCAAACTTCCCAACATGATTTATAGCATGAGTTGTTTGTAAGCAGGGCACTGCTGTGTATTTTGTTCTCAGATACTAAAAATGATTTAATTTTTAATTACATTGAGAGTTTTCATCTAATTTAGAAACTGGAAACTGAGCCTTGCTTGACTAAATAAAATGTTACTTTTCTATGGGTGATGTATCTATGTATATATACTTTAAAAATTAACTTGAAATTTAAAATATCAGATCTCAGATTCTGACTTCTTGTTATTATCTACAGCCTCACCAATTAATTTATCCACTTGACAAATTGAGTCATTTTTGAGTCATTTATCATTTTAAAGATAATTTCTGAAGGGATGAAGGAGAGGAAGAAAAGGAGAATGGGGAGCAGGATTGGGAGAAAGGAACTAAAAGACCAAGAGGAACAAAGAGTGAAATGTGAATTAATAATGTAAGAAATTTGATGAAAAATTTCATAAACCATGTTTAAGAAACATGAATTTTTTCTACTTGTTAATATCACTTAGCTATTTTAGGTAGTTTATACAATCATCCCTGTTATGTTTGCCCATGGTTGGAGTGGTTATGTGTTTATTTTTGCAGAGAACGAGACTGACTTCACTCGTCCTGCCAGGGTCCCATGGAAGTGGTCAACAATGTCACTGAGTTTATATTCCTGGGACTTTCCCAAGATCCTGGAATACAATTGATGTTCTTTGCCCTGTTCCTACTCTTCTACATCGTGATCATGGTGGGAAATTTACTCATTTTGCTTACCGTCTTTTCTGATCCCCGGCTCCAGACACCCATGTATTTCTTCCTTGGCAACCTGTCCTTTGTGGACATTGCGTATTCCTCAGCCACGGCACCCAAGATGATTGCAGACTTTGTTTCTGAGAAAAAGACTATTTCCTACTGGGGGTGTATAACACAGATGTTTACTTTTCACTTTTTTGGTTGTGCTGAAATTTTTGTTTTGACTGTCATGGCTTTTGACCGCTATGCTGCCATCTGCCACCCCCTCCGTTACACTACCATCATGAGTGTCAGTGTTTGCACCATGCTGGCCTCACTGTCCTGGCTGGGAGCCCTCGGTCATTCCTTTGTCCAGACTCTTCTGACCTTTCAGCTACCCTTCTGTAGTGCACAGACCATAGACCACTACTTTTGTGATGTTCACCCAGTCTTAAAACTTGCCTGTGCTGATACAACCCTGGTAAACATGTTGGTGATTGCAAACAGTGGTTTTATCTCCCTGGGATGTTTCCTTATTCTTTTGGCCTCCTACATAATCATCCTATTTAATCTTCGGAAACGGTCTGCAGAGAGCCAGCGCAAAGCTCTCTCTACCTGTGGATCTCACCTGACTGTAGTCACTTTCTTCTTCATCCCTTGTATCTTTATTTATCTTCGTCCATCCACCACTTTTCCACTGGATAAAGTTGTGTCTGTGTTTTATACCACCATCACCCCAATGCTAAACCCACTCATTTATACTCTGAGGAATGAAGATGTAAAGAACTCCATGAAGCGACTATGGAACCGAATTGTCTCCTTGAAGGAAAAGCAGAAGGGATAGCTTGGAAAATTAGTTAGCAAATAACTTCAATGATTCATAATTTATCAATAATTTTAAGGCCTAGGCTCCAAAACTCAACTATCTTGTACTTTTCATTTACCAGAGAATTATTTGAGATTGTTGTGTGGTGGACTAAAACCTTTTCATAGTGGCAAGGTTTATATTGTCATTAGGGGAGTGGAACAGCAAACTCTCCATACCACATTTAACTGCTTTAAATCTCTTCTATTCACATTAAACTTTTAAGCTATAATTCAATGATGTAGGAAGGTGATAAAAGTGAAAGATATTTCCAAGGAATCAAATAATTTCTCTCAGAAAATGTTTTACTTCCCATGAACTGCATTCCTGTATCTTTCCTTCCTCTTTTTTTCTTTCTTCTATTTATCTTTTCCAACAAATAGTCTATTATCTAGCAGAGGAAACCAATTTTTCTTCACATAATTATAATACAATATGAGAAATATAAAAATATAGTCTGCACATAATGAAGGATATTGCTACAAACTGACCAACTGTCCCCCCCCAAAAAAACCAAACATATTTTGCATCAGAATGCAATTGTTTACAAAATCCTCTTGTAGAATTTGAATATTCTCCCAATTTGGTACTCTGATGCTATTTTTCAGTAAGATAATTTTACAGTTATTTTTTCCAATACATAGCCTAGATTAGTTAAAGCAAATAAAATGAATTGACATGTGAGTTATTGAAATGACTAAGTCTAGGAGATAATTATAGAATTTTGGTTAAAAGTCTTCAATTTTCAAAAAAGGGCAAAATGGAATAAGCAAATTTTCTTTCTGGGGTGTTAGTAAAGCTGGAGAATAGCTGGTTTTTCTCAACACTTTGGAATATATATTTTTATTCTAAGGAACAGCTTTACATTTTGTTTCAGGACTCAGTTCTCAAGAATTCTACTATGTTTATTTTCAATCAACATTCATTTTTTATATGTCTAAAAGCAATTCTGTATATAATTATAAAACATCAGATACATTTATTCCCGTTTGGTTTTTAAGTGATTTTTATCTCATTTTTACGAAAAGAAGGGTACAAATAATGCACACCTCTTGTTGTTGACTCTGTACTGCACACACAAGGTTTAATGGTAAGGACTTGTCACTTTGCTATTGTCACCACAGTCTCCACTATCTCTTCTGCTTTCTTTTTTTTTTGTGGGTACCGGGGATAGAACTTGGGTCTTTGCGCTTGCACAGTAGGCTACAAAACCACTGAGCTAAATCCCCGGCCGTCCCTTCTGTTTTCTTAGTAGCAGAAGCCTGACATTGTTTATGGCATACATGCAAAAATATTGCATTGTCCAGTCCTTCTTTGTACCTGGGTGTGGAGAACATAATATTAACAGTAACTGGTGGGTGGGACTTTGGAGAACTCATTAAAACAGATTTTCTATGCATCAGCCGCTCTCCCATATAGAACAGCCACTGACCTTTTTTTGCATTCCTTATATTTTTTATTTTCCAAATGTTTATTTTGTCTTGTTTATAATACCTAATTTTACAATAAACAACACATTTAAATTATATTGAAATGGCAAGCTACATTAGTTTAACTTTTCTCTCTTAAGATCTAGGTATAATAATATATATAAAAAAAAAAAACAGCAACTACCTTGTCATCTCAGCCACATCCAGTAAGATACCTATTTGCTTCAGTGACTTGAAATACCGTCATTATTGTATAAGATACTTCTATTTAGATTTTATTTCTGAGCTTTAAATTTTATTCCAATTTTCTTTTGTGGTGATCTTCAGTTGTTGATTTTTCTCATTGGTAAAATGACTGGGCTCCTTTGTAGAATTAGCTGTGCAGTCTATGAGAGCAATTACTTCAGGTTCATTTGTAGTCAAAGCTGACGGGTGTACGTGGTGGCTGCAAGGTGTGCTGATGTCCTCAGCACAGAAAGTTACTGGAGTCTAGGTGTTGAAGGCCACACTGATTCCTACACATGACTGATACAGATTTTATCCTTCCTCTTTGTTGCTGGCTTTGCCCGACATCTAATGTGTGTGTCAGTTCTTTCAGGGATCTGGGTGGGGTGAGACTGAAAGCATTTGCTTGGACTTCAGTCCAGTAGGCTGGTTAAGCAGATTCTCTATCTATCTATGTATCTATCTATCTATCTATCTATCTATCTATCTATCTATCTATCTCTCTCTCTCTCTCTCTCTATCTATCTATCTATTTATTTGTACTGGAATTGAACTCTGGACCTTGTGCTTGCAAGGCAGATGTGGTGCCACTGAGCTAAATCCCCAGGCAAGGGTTAAGCAGATTATTACTTCAGTCTCCTGTTCAGGCTGAGAATTAATGAGCTCATAATTTTCTCTCTATGCTAAGCACTTCCTGCCTGGGGGATGAGATCCTGTAGGCAAAAACTTTTTCCTACCTTTTTATATGTTTATTCTATTTTTTTCTCTCTATTGAATTGCTTTAGCTCTTTGTGATTTTTAAATTTCGCATGTTTTTTCATTAAATTATTACTTTTGTTATTAATGTTTGTTAAATATTGTAAATTCTGTAGTTCTAAAGACGCTTACAAGCAAAAATTGATGCTTCCTACCATATTTTAGGGTTTTTTGTTTGTTTTTTTAAAACAAGCTCTCATAGTTTAGGCTGGCCTTAAACTCATTATGTAGCCCAGGATGGCCTTGAATGCGCTCTGATTCTCCTGCCTCAGCGTTCCCAATGGTGGGAAGTGTGTGCCATAGATGTGTGCCATAACATCCAGATTGATATTTATTAATCAAACCTCATCCAAATCAATAAAATGCAAAATGATAATTGTTAATAAAATTTTTATTTAAATTAACATTATTTATATTTTTATAGAGAACATTTCTATACATAATATATTCCATTGAGTCTGTTATATGTTTTTCATTTTCTATTGTTCTTCATTGCTTTTTTAAATCAACTTCATGTTATATACTTTATTCTAACTCAGTTTCAAACAATCTCAAAGGGATAATTTCTGAAAGACTTGAGATTGCTATAGAAGAAAATTGATAGAACCTAGTATTTATTATAGAATATTTAACTTGTTAAAGTTGACTATGAATCACTGAGTATGAGAGTGTGGGAAGGAAGATTGCATATCTAGTAAAATGCAATTTAATTGCTCACCTATTCACTTCATATTTACAGCATACTACTTATTATGTTCTATTTTGTTGGGAAGGAGTGAGCCTAACAAAATTTTGCTGTTCTTTAATTATCTAGCTTACAGTTCACAAGATTCTTTGGTAGAAGAATAATTGTCAGAGAAAGCCTATTATTTTTGGCTGAGAGATGCAGACACTGTTGGTAGTCTCATAGATGGATGAGTCAAGTGTAAGTTGATTTATGGAAATAAGGATTATTTCTCACTTGTTCATCATTAGACCTGGAGTCTGCTACAAGTTTGACATGTAAGCAATTATTATGTACATGTAGAAAACACTGAATAAAGCTAGAAATATACTTTGAACAAATAAGTTTGTATGCAAAGGCTTCTTTGGAAGTCTTGGGTAAACTGTTCAAACATTTTATGCGGTATTAGATTTAGACATATATTTATTTTTCCAAAAAATCCAGAATCTTTAAGTGATACAGTCTTTTGTTATAGTGGAATTAGAATGCTCACCATATGTTAGAGCATATATCATACATCATAAAATTTTCCTGGGAAATTAGTCATTTTCTTTACTTGTCCTGTGCAAAGCAAAATAGTTCAAAATAGTTCTCTGTTCATTGGATGCAACATGTGTCAACTTTAAAATTATTCTCTTGAGGTTTTTATTCCTATCTGGCTTTCCCTGGCCTCTAGAGGATTGATTGTCATAGTTACAACCCATGGTGCTAGTTAGCTCATTGTTACATCAGTACAGGAACTGATGTCTACCAAAACACAGAAGGCAAATCCCTCTTTTGTGGATGTCGAAGGAGATGTCTTCTTCCCACCACCACTTTAGTTTCTGCCTACACCAAGGCTGGGGGAGCAATTGGTAGGTGGAGGAATGCTGTTGTTACATTCACATAAATCACTATTTTTGAAAAAATTAGATATTTATAATGATGGGAATAACTATGTAAAATGTTCAGAGGCCAGTGATAAGAAGAATAAGTCCTCTAGTATGGAAATCTTTTAACAAAAGTGGTGACATCTGTAAGCAGGACTTAGGTGGATAGACTATTTCTACTGACTTAATCCTAGCAACTAAAACATTGTAAAGTCATATTCAAATAGGATATTGAGAAGATTTCTTGGTCCTCTTGTACCTTCACAATGAGTCATTCTTAGAGGTGTTCAAACTGAGGAGGTTTTTTTGATTTATAGGTCCTCGGAGAGGACTTTAAAAATTTGAACCTTGTCACTCTTGGAAGGCTGTCAGGAGTAACCCATAAGATTTTTAGATACTTTATGTTGATTCTTCAGGATGAGCACTGTGAATGGAGTGGTGAAAGTGGGAACTTTGATGTTTTATTTTGAAATTACTAATAGTAACAACTTTGCAAGTGAATAAGAAAGACAAAAAAGAGACAATATCAAAGATACTCTTGTTTGAAAGGAATGTGGTAGTTTAAAAAGAGAATTTCAGGGAACAAAATCCAGACCAGGGACCAGGGTGGGAAAAACTAACTGAATTAATAAAACTATTAAGTTTGGGATGTTTTTGAAATATTTTTCAGAATCTTTTATTCATGCATTTATTCATCTACAATCCATTTAATTTTCCAGTTATCCATTTTCTGTCAAAATATAAACAAAAATTACAATCTAATAAGATAAAATTTCTAGTGAAGGTGTGAACAGAGTACTGCTATAGAAACCTAAATGCCATTTCTGTGAAGATTGTTAGGAAAACTTATACAAAATTTCAGGTACTTTGGAAAGGAGGATTTCTGAGAGTGGTGAAGGGATTTCAGCAGCCACATAGCACTATGAGTCTGGAAAAACAGGAGAATGAGTGGTGGTGTTTAGAAGTCAGATACTA